GGTCCTACCCTTTCTTCGCTCATTAGTGAAGGTGACCAGAGCCGTGGCTCTATGTATCTAACCTATGTATCTGAATGCAGACATGCTTAACACACAGTCGTCAGTGTCTAGCCAAATAATGCATAAAAGGAAGTGAAGTCGAGTAGAAGAAAAATCCTTTTCGATGGCTCAGCTCATTTAAAGGTGTCTCGACTCTCGTGGCTTGTTTTCCTTTATTTCTGCCCCGATTAATTTGATAAATATTTTTTTCGAATTTTTCAGGCAATTTATCTTGTCAAGAAAAGATTTCTATTAGTCGAGAACAATTTGACCTGTTCAGAATGGTATTCTTATTGGTATTGGTATAGTTTTTCAATGGTGAAGCATACAAATTTTTCTCCGGAAGAATCTCTGCGACCTGCAACATTTTCTATCAATTTTTCATACAAAGTTATGAACATTCGGATATCATAAACTTCAAATTAGCACTATTTAGCCGATTCCAATTAAGTTTAAGTTACATAGAATATTAGCTGTATCCTGTATCTATGTTACAGAGGACGATTTTTCTTATTGCTCTTATTTTATTTTTTTTTCTAACTGCGTTCCTAGTGAAGAACTTATCTTAAAGCGGAAATCGCTATACTTTATTCCAAAAACTTTAATTGTATTTCTTGACTGCTTCAATAAGACAACCACATTTCAAAAAACCAAGTTTTATCAATAGATTATGACTTATTAACATATTCCTGCAATGATAAAATATGTTGGTAACACTAGACAACTAATTTTTCTTTGGCGATATTAGTGAGATCTTCTTTCTAGCAATTCCAACACAACGTTTAATAAAAGATGAAGAGTTCTCCCCTCTTGTCAATTTGATCTTAACAGTTATTAAAAACTTTTTCTAACTCATCCTAACCCACAAGCCGGTTTATTTACTTGCAATGTCACAAGCGTTTTATAGATTAAGAAAACTGGGGTATTTTTCCTTGATTTTAGAAATTTTTTGAACGCAAAATTGATTTTGCAGTTAATTTTGCAGAAAGCGTGACATAATATAGTCAGGTTGAATTAAATTAATAACTTTTATGAATAACCTAAAACAGCGAAATGGGTCCGGCAAGGAAAGCCTTGGAAGCACAGCGGCAGGTGCAACGACCGTATCACGCCACCCTAGTTTTTGTATATTCCCTGCTTGAGTCCTAAATTCTTTTTTAAGCTTACATATTGAAGGCTAAGTTTACTTAGTCTAGTTTAGTCTTTTGTTCTCCAATTTATATAAGGTTAAACGTTGTTTGGGGGCCGTTTTCTTCGGCATTTTACGTATGTATGAGTGGAGTTATTTTATCTACTGCTTGTAGATGCTTTCCATGTAATGGAAAATGAGGGCAATTGTTATGATATTGGGCATATTTGGTCGGACGTACAGTCAGCTTATCCCGGAACCGACAAGACCAATAGATCTATGGAATCCGTTTGGTCCTACGTCCACACCTCGTCCAAAAAACCAGGTGGGCAACTTAGGAATTTGCGCTCGCATTTCCAATTAAAAACGTTTTCTTTTTTCGTACAACCTTTTGTCTAGTGTTTGCCAGTTCAGTGAGTATCAGAAGCTCGAAGTAAACTATATAGGACTTCAATTGATTTATACTGTGATAGACTTAATTAGAAACGAATCGTCCTGTTTTTTTTTTCAGATATTTGCTAGCTATTTTTTTTAATTTGAGTTTTGTCCATTATTTTCTTTAGGCAGAGATGCGTCCAGCGTTGCAATAGCTCATTTATCCCTTCTTCTTTGTGAATTTTACGTAAATCAAGTTAAATTTTTAAAGCCTGAGTTTGTCAGCTTTTAAACTCCAGGGGAGAATCAACCTGTGTGTTAGGGGTTGTTTAAGGTCTAGATCAGTACATGTGTTAAAGATTGATGACTAAGTACTCATTGAAAGCCACAC